GAACAAGGGAGAGAGAGAGCAGTTAGCTATGGAGGTAGGTCACTCTCAACAGGAGAGAGAAAGTGGTCCATTACTGAGAGAGAATGCCTTGCTTTAATTGAAGCAATCAATGAATACCACATATACATAGCAAATGCACATTTTATAGTTTACACTGATCACATCTCATTAAAGTACCTGCAATCAATTAAAGATCATACAGGTAGGCTAGGTAGGTGGTCAATCAAACTTCAAGCATATGATTTCACCATTGAGTTCAGGTGTGGCAAATCAAACTCAAATGCAGATGCATTAAGCCGGAGACCATATGAAGTAAATGAATGTAAACAAATGTGTCAACAAACCACAACAATACAAACAGAGGACTCAGGTATTACACAAGACAACTGCACTGATGAATGGGTAGCTTATAGTATTCCAAGCCCTACTACAATGCAAACAGGTAATATAGGGTCAGAAGGTCAAAATGTTAAGTGTCCAATAAGTGAATCAAAACAACAAACAGGTATGTGTAGTGACCTAAGTGCCCTAAGTTCAATATGTGAAATTACTCAATCATCAAATGAGGTGTTTCAAAATAAACAAAGACAAGATCCCCAACTGCAAATATACATAAAGTATTTAGAGCAAGATGAGTTACCAGACAAAGAGAACTTAGCAAGAAAGGTAATACTTGAAAGTCAGGATTTTCTTATCAAAGATGGTATTCTATATCATATGTATTATCCAAGGGGAAAGGGTCATAAATCAGACAGAGTTGTAATACAATTAGCAATACCACAACAATTGAGAGAGGATGTTCTACAGTGTTATCATGACTCCTTAATGGGAGGGCATCAAGGTCAAGATAGGACATACAACACAATCAGGTACAAATATTACTGGCCAAAAATGTATTCTGACATAGAGAAATATGTAAAATCATGTGAAATTTGTCAACAATCAAAAAGGTATCATGGCCAGAGAGCACCCTTACAACCATTACCAACAGGAAGTCTATTCAGTCGTGTCCACATGGATATACTAGGACCTATACACAAGGTAAATGGATTTCAGTACATTCTTTTGATTGTAGACTCATTTTCGAAGTGGCCAGAAGCGGTTGCCTTGAAATCTATAGAAGCAACAGAGGTAGCCAGGGTATTGTTTACAGAATTCATATGTAGATATGGTTCCATGAAGACTTTAATTACAGATAGAGGCCAGAATTTCATGTCAAAAGTTATTCAAGAATTGTGTAGAATGTTTGGTATTGAACACAGGGCAACCTCAAGTTATCACCCTGAGACCAATTCAAGCTGCGAAAGGATGAACAGTACAATCAATCAAGCATTTAGGTGTTTTGTTGATAAACAACAATCTAATTGGCCACAACTTCTACCAGGTATTTTAGCCTCTTATAGGTTTTCACCAGCAACTGAGTCAACTGGGTATTCCCCTTACTATTTGTTGTATGGTAAGGAACCCCTTATGCCACTAGATACTATGGTACCAGTAAGTATGGGACAAAGTACAGTCACAGACAGACTACAAGATATACAGACTAACTTAGAGGTAGCAAGGGATATAGCTAAAGAGAATCAAGAAGCTGCAAAGATAAAGACTAAAACCCAACATGATAAAAAGGCGAAACTACCACAGTTCAAGGTAGGTGATAGAGTATGGTTACATGTGCCTAAAACTCCAACAGGTCTAACACCTAAACATTGTAGAAAATATCATGGTCCATATTACATTGTAAGGGCTAATGCTAACATGACATACAAACTAATAAGGTGTAGTGATGATCGTTTATTGAGATCTTTGGTACATGCAAATAGATTGAAGCCTTATGTAGATCCAGAGACAAGACCAACAAATATACCAAGAGTTCAACAGGGACAGGTATTACAGGATGACAATCATATTGATCAAGGTAGTAGTAGTATTAGTGATAGTAGTAGTGAAAGTGATCAGCAGCCACCTCAGGTACAAGAAGTTGAGCGACTCTTGGCATGTGGTAAACACAATGGAAAAAAGTGTTATAAGGTGAAGTGGCGTAATGAGAAAAAGAGTACATGGGAGTATGAAGAAAATATTCCAAGAAATTTAATAAGGGAATACCATATCACCAAAACAAACACTGGTAAAGTAAGGAAAAGGAAAACTAGATAAGAAAGCAAATCGATACATCATGCATGCATTTAAGTCCCATATTAGTTAGTTGTTTGAGTAAGTACATGTAGGCATTATATGATGTATGATATGGTATTGTAAAGAAACTATAGCAGTTTATTGTTTGATATATTCTATGGTACAAGTATACAGCACAGGTGAGGTATAAGAGATGATGCTATTAAATTAAGGTAAGGGTATCAGGTGTAAATGTAAAGATAAAAGAGTATTAAGTGAGAAATAATAAAGTAAATGCAATGTAATAAAGCAAGTGAAATGATAATAAAACAAGTGAAAAATAAAGAGAATATCTGGTTCCAATCAAGAGGATTAAAACACAGGTCTATTTAATGTACAAGTAGATCTGCGGATCCCAGGAAGATCAAACCTTAAAGAAAAGGTTAACCTAGGACAGCGTGCGACCTAGTCTGAGTTATTTTATGGCTAAAACCCCACATTACAAATGCAGTAATAAGACGTTGTTATCTGTGTATGTAATTGTGTAGCCAGTGTCTTAACGTCTAATTAAAGGGGCAGGTAGTGGCTCACGAATGCGGCAACCCCACCTTGCTGTCATTTATACAGTAAGGTAAGTCCAAGTTCTGACATAAGCACGTAGTACATATAGTGTGTAGAAGTGTTAGTTAGAATAACATATGTAGTTCAAGTGAAAGTAAAACAAATGTAGTCCAAGTGAAAGTGAAAGAAATGTAGTTCAAGTGAAATCCTAATGAAAAAGGATAAGACAGTGAGCCAAAATAAAAGTGTCAATATTGCATGGCCAACCCTGCTAATATTTTTAAATGTCTTAACCTGTAAACTAATAAAGTGTTAGGATTATTTACTAATATTTAGTAAAGTGCCTTCTGGTAAATATAGTTACTGGGTGCAAACTACTTCCTGGGAGCTAGACACTAATTGGGACCAGTTAATTTGAGAATGACAACTTATAATAATCTTAATTGTTCAAGATATATAATTAATTAATCCTAAATTAAATATCTATGTACAACTTAAATTGAATTCATGGACTGCTACAGTCAGTTTACATTGTTTAAGAAGTTCAATTGCAAGGGATTATTTGCCTTACTTCTCTTATACTTCATCAATGTGAGTTTCTCATTATTATTTAAATGTGCCAGACAAAGGTCATATACCAAAGCATTATGGTAGAGATAAAGTTTGCACAAACAATTATGATGTGCATCATTAACAGTGTTTATAAACAAAACTTAGTAGAAAGGTAGGATTTAGTGCAAGTTACTTTTAACTAGATATGGTTATAATAGGCCATAAAAGATTTTTTTTCTCCTTTACATATGATTGTAAGTTTTAACTCAAGAAAATACAGGATTGGATTGTGCCAAGTTGAAGTTTTTACTGGCAACAGAATCATACGCGTGAAATTCTGTGCTGGTGCATAATGAGTGATCAATTACCTTTGTTGGTTGTTAATTGCAGTTTGGGTATTTTCAAAAAGAAATTGTCCTGTTTATAATTGTTTTATTGAGTTTAATAATTATTATGGTAGTTTATGATGATTTTAGTTAGATAAACAGTATGTAAATTGTAAAGTAGAGTATACAAATAGGTGTTTAAAAAAAAAATATATATATGCGACCACTCTGAACACTAAATTGCTTAAAATAAGAATTGCTAGCAGACAATTTGAAAGTTGGTGGACTTATGGCCTCAAAAATTATGGAGGAGTTATTAATCTTCTAATATGATGAATTTCTTGATTAATGAAAATTATGCTGAATTATATTAACTCTGATAGTGCAACAACTACTATTATAAACAATGTGACTTTACTTCAGGAAGGAAGGACAATATGACACTCCTCATCTCCAGGCGATGACATCAACATTGGACGATGACATCAACGTTGGACGTTGATATAACATTTTAACATATTTTATACTTTGATAGAATTTAACATTACAGGTTATATATTTTTAACTTGGACTGATTAAACGGAGTGATTTTCATTTAGAATGCGGGACGCATTCTTTGGAGGAGAAGCAAATGTGACGGAGTGATTTTCATGTTGTATTTTATAATTAATATCTTATACTTTTACTTTGTTTTTACTTTGTAAATTAATTAATGGAAACATGATACAAAAAGCATTTAGATAAACAACAGGTCATGTAGTACACCTGGGATATCTCTGGTCAGTTTCTCACATTAAATATGCAATCATTACAATTGTTCAGAGCATCTTCAGACTTACAAATGTTTCTTTAATTTACATTTAATTTACATTTCTATATCTTGGATTCTAATTAGGATTTGAAGCAGTCTTCCTATTGTTAAACTTTTAACATAACAGATTTGAAGTGATCATGTGATGTCTGGTTTTGAAGAATATACTATATGCCATGTGAGATTTGGGTCACTTTCGGCCTAGACTTCAAAAAGACATACCTAGATTTAGCAGTAGATTAGAAGTGAAAACAAGTGAAATAAATAAAAGATAGAAATTAAAACATCACACTATTGTGTACATTTAATATAAAGAAAGCCCGGTCATATTAGTATGAAAATCTAGTACTGACTAATTTTTGGCATTCTGGGTAAATTTTAAGGTGGCCATTTTGGATATTCCGTCCTCAAATTGTGTCGGTAAAGTCTTGTCTACTCATTTTTGGATAACCATTTGACAGGATCACCCATAGGTGGGGACATTTTGTACACATTTGTGTTCTTGTTTAAAAACTCTGTTTAATAGTGAGTGGTGACTAACTGTAGTCATTTTACTTCATGACTGTTCATTCATGCAAGAGCACCCCCCATCAAAACTGCAAAACAATTTTACTGATAAATGAACACAACAAACATATGCGATGCAAGAATTAAATCTTGTTTATTTGATTTTGTAGCCAACGTTTTGACAAATTAAGAGAAAGAATCTTGCACACATTTGCACTTTCTTGTGTCTGTAGAACATTCGCATTCCAAGTTCTCTCCACATGTTCCCTGGAAAAAGGTGTTTCCATCTTTCCTGATTTTCCCACAGTTCTGGCCCTCTTTTTTAATCGCATTTCCAACTTGAGAAGGCTATAGGAAAAATATTATGTATTTCATTATTGTTTTTACTTTTATTGATACATACCATCATATCATGGCATAACTATACTAAACTGTAGTTGTTATGCAATCAAATAGAATATCATAGATTTTTATTACATTCTCATTAAATAAAGATATAAATAGTTACATTTACGAGATCACTTGCATTATTTTCAATGTTTTCCACATGTACAAGGTGTGCAATTAATAAGGTGAAAGATACAGTAACTTTCTTAATATTGCACCAATCATAATGGAGACCGTAACTTGAACCTTTTCACATGTATTATGCCAATTTTAAAATTTTCGTATTTGATTGGTCACAGACTTCTGGTATCTTTCTGGTAGCTTTATTCACTTTCCAGGTATATTACTGCCACAAATACAAGATATAACAGTCCTAAAGTCCCAGTGTTTTGAAAATAGGCTATTCAACATAATGTCCATCTTTCGCTATACACTTGAACACATTTGAGGCTATTCTTGCTCATTTCCTGAAATCTTGCTAAGACATGTGATCCGAGTTCATCAGTGCTTGCAAATTCATTTCTTCTTAAGTCATGCTTGAGTTCAGCATATAAATAAAGGTCATTGGGTGCCAGATGTGGCAAATATGGATGTGTCATCCATGTAGAGTTAGCCCTGTTGTCCTATTAGTTTCATTTGTGAGCAAAGCTGTGTGCGAGAGTGCATTGTTCCAGTACAGCAAAACTTCTCTCATAGGCGTTTCTTTAGAAAATGAGCAAGAATGGCTTTGGAAGTGTGTTAAGAGAATTGGTGACCACTGCAGGCATGAGAAATGTGTAGCCAAAGATGGACATTATGTTGAATAGCCTATTTTCATAACACTGAACTTGAGAACTCTTGAATTTGTGAATACACCTGGAAAAGTGAATAAAGCTACCAGACCAGAAGGATTAAATATGTTTTGAAATGCTACTTTAGCTCTGACCAATTAAATGCAAAAAGCTTGATATTCATGGAATAAAGGCAAAAAGGTTTGGGTTAAAACCCCTCCAAATTCCTCCAAGATTGGTGTAACATTAAGAAAGTTACAGTATATTTTACCTAATTTATTGAACCAATAGTATTTATTGTTATATGTTATCTAGGCACTTTCTTTTTTTAAAAACATATTTTATAGTGTCAACAGGAATACCAATAACGCAGATGGGAGTGAGTAGTTACAGTTCCACAACCAGGTGGCTTATTTGGGTCAGATAGCGTGGCGGGTATATTAGAAAGTTCGAAAGGGGACATGCCATTAAGAGGCCATTCTCTGACTTAGTCATTTTTTCAAAAGTGTAAAAATAAAAAAATTCATGAAAAGTTCTTAAAATATTCTGAATAACAAGTTGAATATATATATTTAATGATGGCACAAGCAAAAGTCTGAAAATTGACATGTAATGAAGGGTTTTGACAGATGCAAAAGATGGTAGATTTGTGATGAAGAAATAGAGGTTTTTGCAGTAACAACACAATTACCTCGAAGTTATCCGTTATGAGAGGCTGAGGACTAAACTTGACATAATTTTCAATCTCAGACTATCAGTAGTATCTAACTTAAGCCGGACAGCCACTCAAAATGTATAAGGAGCCCATAAGATACATTTTTCTCAATTGAAGTCACTATTTCTGGTTTTAGCTTCAGAGGATAGGAGGTACATGAACATGCTAAGTTTACCTAGATCACAAGCCTTACCACAAATATAAAGTATATAGGAATAAAGTTGATATGTGGGAAAACCTTAAACTTCCCATTTTATTGGGGATGGAACTTGTGGACCATGTGTATTTCTAACTTCTTCACATGTGCATGGATCTAAAATTGTGGCAGCCATCTTGGATTTGTCATATTATGTGGACATGGTTTTGGTTGTGCTGAATTTGTTTCAAAATAACATTTCTTGTATACCTTCGATAAGTGAGATAGGCATTTGAAATTAAAGCGGCTCTAAGGTCTGTGGAGAGAAAAATGGAGAAATTTTACCTTTTCTGAGCTATCGGGGTGAAGTTTGGTCCAACATCTTCTTCCTTATTCCTATTTTATAAAAATGTATGCATATGGCGACCATCAACCAGTAGAACTGGCAAATCGTTTAGAATCTACAATTCCATACAAGGAGTCCCACTCATAGATTTTTCAAATTCTTTCCAAGTCGATGTCGAAACACCTAGCGGGTAAAATTGACACTAATTTTTCTGGCTGCTCGAATCGATAAAATCTCTGATAGTGTGAGTCTTTTTATGAAATCTTTCTTATAGAAAACACTTAACGATTATTAGAAAGCATTAAAAGTTGAATCCGAAGCGTAATCTGAAATAAAAGTGAAAAAACATTGCGCGGACGTCAGAGAACAAACTTCCGGTTTAATAAAAAATGGCGGACGTCGAAGGAGAAAATATGACGCAGAATTAGAGGATTTTCCTTTGCCATTATCGATCGTTATAAGGTATGTGCACAAATTCTAGTTGCATACATGGAAAATAGATACATTTTTAAGGCAACAACATATTCAAAGCTTTCATTTTACGATAGGCCCAGGATCATTGGATACGACTCGGCAATCGATATTCACACTTTAAATACAGATAGTATACTTGACATTTAATGCAGTAAACAGTAATACAATTCATTCTTACATGATAAGTGAGTCCAGACAAAAAGTTGTTATTGTGTTAGTTTAACTGGGCATAAATTACACTCGTTGGCCTTGGTTTTCTTAATTGGCTTGGATAAAATGTTGTTCTGTTTATTCAGAGTATAGTTCAATATACAAGTTCACATTCGTTCCATCCTCTTGTAGAAATGAATCTCATATTATTTCATCTCAAATATAGAACACAAAAATATAATAAAAAACAAGTTTCTATTAATTGCAAAAGTTAGCTTCTATGTCATGACTGAGTTTTGGGTTCCGCTTCTAGGGAAAAAATATCCATCTGGAAATATCGCATTGACCATTGCTATACACTCCATATTTAATCCTCCTAGTAAATAACATTGATATACAGTATACAAGTATATATGACATCGAGGATCTGGGGTTTGGGTAATGTGAGACATGAGGCCACTTATATTTTTGAATCTCATATTCAATATTCTTTCTTTAAACCCTCATATTTATTAATATTTTTGGAGTGGTAATTCAATTATGTACCTATTTTTTATTCTTTATCCCATAGTTGAACTCTGTTCCGCTCTGTTAGGTAACATGAAAACATATTTATGATATTTTGCAAATGCATGGAAAAAGTGATATCTGTGGAATACGGAAAATATTTCACAGATATCACCTTTTGGCAGTGATTTGAAAACTACCACCAATATGATGTGTTTTGTTACATAGTGATTTCATGACATCACGGGGATGAATGAATGAATGAATGGATGTTGTTTTGATATGCTTTGTTTAGTTTTAGAGGTGAACTATGGGAAAAATAGAACATCCTTTGAATATTCGTGATATTGTGTTAATCCAACTCATTGATATCAATATCTGCGCTAATTCGCTATGCTAACTTGGCAAGATATTGATATCAACTCGGAGATAAAGATAAAATCATTTAAAATCATATGATATCCTATACATATCCTGTGCCACAACTTTCTCATATGTTATATATTTTGGCACAGGCCATCATTTATTTTCCTTGAATTCATGCTTTTGTTCCTCATTTTAGAAATGAGAGGAAATCTTTGATTTTCCTTGTATTTAAGTTGCTTAAATGTTGCCCTGTGATGTTGATAAAAGTCAATAGTAATCCATTACAGTCACAGTTGAAATGTACCCATTGCTAGCCCAGAACCTACCAAAATAGCATTTGCATTTTGTCAATATTTCCCTATGTGCTTTTCCATGAAAATAATTTTAATCGTATCTTTTCTTCAGTATTTCATATATTACATTTTAATATATTTAAATTGGTTAATATTTATATACTATTTACTTAGACAACAATAAATAAAGAATTTTTTGTAAAAACACCAAAAATGATATATGATCTTTAAATGACTGTTGTGTGAACATCAAAGGTCAAAATTCGCTGAAATTGTATTTTTATAAAGCACAAATGATTTTTCTTCAATATGATATGCATTATTATCAGATATCTTTGGGGGCTAAAAAGGGCCCTTAATGACACCTGTCCTTTTCGAAACCATATTTCTAGATGTACTGTTACACATAGATTTCAAATATGACATCACTTTGACTGAATTTTGAATATTTAATGACGTAAATCAAGATTATTTCTACTCGCATCTAGTCTATTGTTCTTTTATTTTATTTGGGTTTTTTGATATTGTATCTTACCCTTCCTGTGCCTGGGGTTGTTGATCCTACACCTGGGGTTGTTGATCCTACACCTGGGGTTGTTGTTGTTGCGCTTCCTTCACATGTGCACTTCCCCTTTTCTTCAGGACATTCACAATCCAAGCCATCTGCACATGTCCCTTGGTAGTAGATGTTTCCATCTTTCCTAACTTTCCCACAGTTCTGGCCCTCTTTTTTGATCGCATTTCCAACTTGAGAAGGCTGTAGGAAAAATATTACATATTTTCATTATTGTTTTTACTTTTATTGATACATACCATCATATCATGGAATGACTGTACTAAACTGTAGTTGTAAAACAATCAAATAGAATATCATAGATTTTTATTACATTCTCATTAAATAAAGATATAAATAGTTACATTTACGAGATCACTTGCATTATTTTCAATGTTTTCCACATGTACAAGGTGTGCAATTAATAAGGTGAAAGATACAGTAACTTTCTTAATATTGCACCAATCATAATGGAGACCGTAACTTGAACCTTTTCACATGTATTATGCCAATTTTAAAATTTTCGTATTTGATTGGTCACAGACTTCTGGTATCTTTCTGGTAGCTTTATTCACTTTCCAGGTATATTACTGCCACAAATACAAGATATAACAGTCCTAAAGTCCCAGTGTTTTGAAAATAGGCTATTCAACATAATGTCCATCTTTCGCTATACACTTGAACACTTTTGAGGCTATTCTTGCTCATTTCCTGAAATCTTGCTAAGACATGTGATCCGAGTTCATCAGTGCTTGCAAATTCATTTCTTCTTAAGTCATGCTTGAGTTCAGCATATAAATAAAGGTCATTGGGTGCCAGATGTGGCAAATATGGATGTGTCATCCATGTAGAGTTAGCCCTGTTGTCCTATTAGTTTCATTTGTGAGCAAAGCTGTGTGCGAGAGTGCATTGTTCCAGTACAGCAAAACTTCTCTCATAGGCGTTTCTTTAGAAAATGAGCAAGAATGGCTTTGGAAGTGTGTTAAGAGAATTGGTGACCACTGCAGGCATGAGAAATGTGTAGCCAAAGATGGACATTATGTTGAATAGCCTATTTTCATAACACTGAACTTGAGAACTCTTGAATTTGTGAATACACCTGGAAAAGTGAATAAAGCTACCAGACCAGAAGGATTAAATATGTTTTGAAATGCTACTTTAGCTCTGACCAATTAAATGCAAAAAGCTTGATATTCATGGAATAAAGGCAAAAAGGTTTGGGTTAAAACCCCTCCAAATTCTTTCAAGATTGGTGTAACATTAAGAAAGTTACAGTATATTTTACCTATTTTATTGAACCAATAGATAGTATTTATTGTTATATGTTATCTAGGCACTTTCTTCTTTTAAAAACATATTTTATAGTGTCAACAGGAATACCAATAACGCAGATGGGAGTGAGTAGTTACAGTTCCACAACCAGGTGGCTTATTTGGGTCAGATAGCGTGGCGGGTATATTAGAAAGTTCGAAAGGGGACATGCCATTAAGAGGCCATTCTCTGACTTAGTCATTTTTTCAAAAGTGTAAAAATAAAAAAATTCATGAAAAGTTCTTAAAATATTCTGAATAACAAGTTGAATATATATATTTAATGATGGCACAAGCAAAAGTCTGAAAATTAACATGTAATGAAGGGTTTTGACAGATGCAAAAGCAGTACTGTCAACCCCTAAAGATTTTCTCGCGGGACAGATTTTTTAGACCCAGTGCCCAAAATTCGCGGGATTTTGCGGGACATCTACTAAATTCGCGGGACTTTGTGGGACATTTAAGGGATTTGCGTGATTGCGCTAATAGGCCAACTTTTTTCTCAAATTCGCGGGATTTCGCGGGACCATTCGAGGGACAAACACGCTAATTGCGGGATAGTTAACAGGTTTAACGCCAAAAACTTGATAGAGGGACAGATTTTTTAGACAAAGTGCCCTAAATTTGCGGGATTTTGCGGGACATTCACCTAAATTTGCAGGATGTCCCGGGACATTCAAGGATTTGCGTGATTGGGACTAATGTAAAAGCGTGTAAAAGTACTTAAATCAAACTTCCAAATACTGATTAATCAAATACAATGCACCGTTGTATTGTAACTTAAATAAACGTCAACACAATTTCACAAAATACGTATAGGACATTATATTGTAATTTTTCAAAAGCAAAAACCATGCTTCAGGTGTGAGTACTGTAATCTAACACGAAATTCAAAAATTTGGAACAATACTTTGCATTTCTGGCGTCGTGAACAACTATGAAACGCTTACCCCCATAATGTTATATATTAAAATGTACCTATTCATATACTGTAGGCATTTTCTTTCAATTGAAAGCCCATGATATAGGGGTTCGATTAATCTACATCAAATTATAGGGAATGGGGTTACTTTTCTAGATAGGGTTTGTAGAAAAAAACGGGTACCGGGTAGTAAATCCTCCATGTTGGGTTCAAACTTGGTACCCGGTCGAAAAAACCGGGTACCCAAAAAACGAAATATACGAATATACAACATAATTAGATCATTAGAAAACGTGTAAGATTTGTTTTGAATTTACAAAAATGTATGTAACTTCCTTCAAAATTGAGCTAGAAGCTTCAAAGAAAAAGCATTTTAAGGCTCTTTTCATCCTCTATCATCATGGTCATATTTCCATTGGTAATGAAGGGCGGGGTGCGATCCCTCCTGGCTACGCCAATGACATTGTAAGACGATTTGAAAAACAAGACAAATCAATCTTACTCTATTTTCAATAGTTCGTTTGTTGGTACGTGATTGTTTTGATTATGATTTAAATCTGTAAATAGCTATTGTTGCTTTAGCAGGGAGGTGACGTGTGTTAATTTACATGATTTTGATTATTAATCATAATTTAAGTTATCCCAATTTTCGACAAAATGTCCACTGAATTGTAAATTGTTATGCCTTACAATGTCATAGGCGTAGCCAGGAGATGGTGCGATGGTGCGATCGCACCCCCCCCATAACCAGTGAAAATATGGCCATGACGATAGAAGAAGAAAAGAGCCTTAAATATGCTTTTTATTTGAAGCTTCTAGCTCAATTTTGAAGGATACATACATTTTTGTGAATTCAAAACAAATCTTACACGTTTTCTCATAATCTAATTATGTTATATATTCGTATTTTTCGTTTTTTGGGTACCCGTTTTTTGACCGGGTACCAAGTTTGAACCCAGCATGGAGGATTTACTACCCGGTACCCGGTTTTTCTACAAACCCTTTCTAGATATCAGCGTCCATTTATTGTAACTCGCGTTTGCTAACATTTGCTCAGTTCTGAGATGAAGGCCACACGGATAGTTAGAACTATTTTTGACCTACATCCCTATTTTCGTAATTAAAATGAAAGTTGAAGCCTCTCTCTTTATTTTGATACCAAACAACAGCATGCTAGGTACTTAAAATTAGGTAAACTTTACTCCTCAAAAGTGCAAAAACTTGAGATAAGATAATCACAATATAGGGGATTGCAACAATTTCGGAAATTCGCGGAGGTCAAAACCACATTTGCGGGACTTCGCGGGACATTGCGGGAAACGCGAATTAGCCTAATTTTGATCAAATTTGCGGGATAATCCCGCCATTCGCGGGACACTTGACAGCTCTGCAAAAGATGGTAGATTTGTGATGAAGAAATAGAGGTTTTTGCAGTAACAACACAATTACCTCGAAGTTATCCGTTATGAGAGGCTGAGGACTAAACTTGACATAATTTTCAATCTCAGACTATCAGTAGTATCTAACTTAAGCCGGACAGCCACTCAAAATGTATAAGGAGCCCATAAGATACATTTTTCTCAATTGAAGTCACTATTTCTGGTTTTAGCTTCAGAGGATAGGAGGTACATGAACATGCTAAGTTTACCTAGATCACAAGCCTTACCACAAATATAAAGTATATAGGAATAAAGTTGATATGTATGAAAACCTTAAACTTCCCATTTTATTGGGGATGGAACTTGTGGACCATGTGTATTTCTAACTTCTTCACATGTGCATGGATCTAAAATTGTGGCAGCCATCTTGGATTTGTCATATTATGTGGACATGGTTTTGGTTGTGCTGAATTTGTTTCAAAATAACATTTCTTGTATACCTTCGATAAGTGAGATAGGCATTTGAAATTAAAGCAGCTCTAAGGTCTGTGGAGAGAAAAATGGAGAAATTTTACCTTTTCTGAGCTATCGGGGTGAAGTTTGGTCCAACATCTTCTTCCTTATTCCTATTTTATAAAAATGTATGCATATGGCGATCATCAACCAGTAGAACTGGCAAATCGTTTAGAATCTACAATTCCATACAAGGAGTCCCACTCATAGATTTTTCAAATTCTTTCCAAGTCGATGTCGAAACACCTAGCGGGTAAAATTGACACTAATTTTTCTGGCTGCCCGAATCGATAAAATCTCTGATAGTGTGAGTCTTTTTATGAAATCTTTCTTATAGAAAACACTTAACGATTATTAGAAAGCATTAAAAGTTGAATCCGAAGCATAATCTGAAATAAAAGTGAAAAAACATTGCGCGGACGTCAGAGAACAAACTTCCGGTTTAATAAAAAATGGCGGACGTCGAAGGAGAAAATATGACGCAGAATGAGAGGATTTTCCTTTGCCATTATCGATCGTTATAAGGTATGTGCACAAATTCTAGTTGCATACATGGAAAATAGATACATTTTTAAGGCAACAACATATTCAAAGCTTTCATTTTACGATAGGCCCAGGATCATTGGATACGACTCGGCAATCGATATTCACACTTTAAATACAGATAGTATACTTGACATTTAATGCAGTAAACAGTAATACAATTCATTCTTACATGATAAGTGAGTCCAGACAAAAGGTTGTTATTGTGTTAGTTTAACTGGGCATAAATTACACTCGTTGGCCTTGGTTTTCTTAATTGGCTTGGATAAAATGTTGTTCTGTTTATTCAGAGTATAGTTCAATATACAAGTTCACATTCGTTCCATCCTCTTGTAGAAATGAATCTCATATTATTTCATCTCAAATATAGAACACAAAAATATAATAAAAAACAAGTTTCTATTAATTGCAAAAGTTAGCTTCTATGTCATGACTGAGTTTTGGGTTCCGCTTCTAGGGAAAAAATATCCATCTGGAAATATCGCATTGACCATTGCTATACACTCCATATTTAATCCTCCTAGTAAATAACATTGATATACAGTATACAAGTATATATGACATCGAGGATCTGGGGTTTGGGTAATGTGAGACATGAGGCCACTTGTCTTTTTGAATCTCATATTCAATATTCTTTCTTTAAACCCTCATATTTATTAATATTTTTGGAGTGGTAATTCAATTATGTACCTATTTTTTATTCTTTATCCCATAGTTGAACTCTGTTCCGCTCTGTTAGGTAACATGAAAACATATTTATGATATTTTGCAAATGCATGGAAAAAGTGATATCTGTGGAATACGGAAAATATTTCACAGATATCACCTTTTGGCAGTGATTTGAAAACTACCACCAATATGATGTGTTTTGTTACATAGTGGTTTCATGACATCACGGGGATGAATGAATGAATGAATGGATGTTGTTTTGATATGCTTTGTTTAGTTTTAGAGGTGAACTATGGGAAAAATAGAACATCCCTTGAATATTCGTGATATTGTGTTAATCCAACTCATTGATATCAATATCTGCGCTAATTCGCTATGCTAACTTGGCAAGATATTGATATCAACTCGGAGATAAAGATAAAATCATTTAAAATCATATGATATCCTATACATATCCTGTGCCACAACTTTCTCATATGTTATATATTTTGGCACAGGCCATCATTTATTTTCCTTGAATTCATGCTTTTGTTCCTCATTTTAGAAATGAGAGGAAATCTTTGATTTTCCTTGTATTTAAGTTGCTTAAATGTTGCCCTGTGATGTTGATAAAAGTCAATAGTAATCCATTACAGTCACAGTTGAAATGTACCCATTGCTAGCCCAGAACCTACCAAAATAGCATTTGCATTTTGTCAACATTTCCCTATGTGCTTTTCCATGAAAATAATTTTAATCGTATCTTTTCTTCAGTATTTCATATATTACATTTTAATATATTTAAATTGGTTAATATTTATATACTATTTACTTAGACAACAATAAATAAAGAATTTTTTGTAAAAAAATGATTATGATCTTTAAATGACTGTTGTGTGAACATCAAAGGTCAAAATTCGCTGAAATTGTATTTTTATAAAGCACAAATGATTTTTCTTCAATATGATATGCATTATTATCAGATATCTTTGGGGGCTAAAAAGGGCCCTTAATGACACCTGTCCTTTTCGAAACCATATTTCTAGATGTACTGTTACACATAGATTTCAAATATGACATCACTTTGACTGAATTTTGAATATTTAATGACATAATCAAGATTATTTCTACTCGCATCTAGTCTATTGTTCTTTTATTTTATTTGGGTTTTTATGTCACCACCAAAAGTGGTGACATATTGTTATGGTCTCCGTTTTTTTGCGACGGCGGTTGGTGGTTGGCGTCCGGCGGTTGGCGTCCGGCGTCCGGCGTCCGGCGTCTGTAACAATTTCTTACAACTTCCTATAACTTAACAAATACTGTTTAGACTGACTTCAATTTTTTTCTAAATCATCTACATGTTCTCAGAAGTTCAAATCTGACTTTAGATTTGACATTTGACCTTCAATGACCTTCTCAAGGTCAAAAAGGTCTTTTTTCAACTTGCTTCACATTGACTAAATTTTTTTTCAAAATCATCTACATGTTCTCAGAAATTCAAATCTGACTTTAGATTTGACATTTGACCTTCAAATCTGACTTTAGAATTAACATTTGACCTTCAATGACCTTCTCAATGTCAAAAAAGGTCAAAAAGGTATTTTTTCATCTTGCTTCAAATTGACTTAATTTTTTTTCAAAATCATCTACATGTTCTCAGAAATTCAAATATGACTTTAGATTTGACATTTGACCTTCAATGACCTTCTCAAGGTCAAAAAAGGTCAAAAAGGTCTTTTTCCAACTTGCTTCAAATTGCCTAATTTTTTTTTTCAAAATCATCTACATGTTCTCAGAAATTCAAATCTGACTTTAGATTTAACATTTGACCTTTAATGACCTTCTCAAGGTCAAAAAAGGTCAAAAAGGTCTGTTTTCAACTTGCTTCAAATTGACTAAAAAATTTTTTCAAAATCATCTACATGTTCTCAGAAATTCAAATATGACTTTAGATTTGACTTTAGATTTGACATTTGACCTTCAATGACCTTCTCAAGGTCAAAAAAGGTCAAAAAGGTCTTTTTTCAACTTGCTTCAAATTGACTAATTTTTTTTTCAAAATCATCTACATGTTCTCAGAAATTCAAATCTGACTTTAGATTTGACATTTGACCTTTAATGACCTTCTCAAGGTCAAAAAAGGTCTGTTTTCAACTTGCTTCAAATTGACCACATTTTTTTTTCAAAATCATCTACATCTTTTCAGAAGTTCAAAGTTGACTTTACAAGTTCTCAGAAATTCAAATCTGACTTAAGTTTGAACTCATAATATTGTGAGCAACTAGGTGGTGACATTTTGTCATGTTAATGCCTTGTTTGATATTGTATTGTATCTTACCCTTCCTGTGCTTGGAGTTTGAGGCACGCCTGGGGTTGTTGATCCTACGCCTGGGGTTGTTGATCCTACGCCTGAGGTTGTTGATCCTACGCCTGGGGTTGTTGTTGATACGCCTGGGGTTGTTGTTGCGCTTCCTTCACATGTGCACTTCCCCTTTTCTTCAGGACATTCACAATCCAAGCCATCTGCACATGTCCCTTGGTAGTAGATGTTTCCATCTTTCCTAACTTTCCCACAGTTCTGGCCCTCTTTTTTGATCGCATTTCCAACTTGAGAAGGCTATAGGAAAAATATTATGTATTTTCATTATTGTTTTTACTTTTATTGATACATACCATCATATCATGGAATGACTGTACTAAATTGAGTTGTAAAACAATCAAATAGAATATCATAGATTTTTGTAACATTCTTATTGAATATTAGGTAGAAATCGTTACATTTTCTAGATTGCTCATTGCTCAAATTATTTTTAATGCTTTAAACACATATTTAATATATCTCTTTCATCAACTTTCTTCTTTTTGAACTCTATAGTCTATGTTGCTGTCGAGTTCGTGGTATTTTACGGTTGGTAGCCTGGTTGGTTGGTCCAGACAATATTACGCATATGGAGAGAGTGATTTAAATAGACCTTTAATTGGCTGAAACATCTACCATATAATATTAAAAATTTATTTTACATTATAATTTTTGGATTATATTTTTTTCTGAGATATCTTACCCTTCCGCATTCGACACAAGCTAGTGTCAAAGCAATAGCAATGGCTACCAGGAGGAAATATCTGTTCATCTTGAATTCTGCAATTAAACAAACATTTATGTGTTTTGTTTTCATTGGTAGATGTTGGAAAAACATCCGATATTCCTTGAACCAGGATACTGTTCCTTCAACTGTATTAGTCATTGTTGTTTGAAGGCGCCAGATTGTTTCATTTTTTTTCAAAGTTGAACATATAAAGTCAGTATATTGGTAATTCTCAACTGTAAATTGTAGAATTAAGTGTCTATATCATTGCTGTAATACCTTAGCCTGCTTCTCCTATATGATGATCAGATAGATGATTGATACAATTGTTGTAATTGATGAAAAATTGGGCCTCCTATGATTTATCCTTTAATGTTTTTTTAAAATTTAAAGTGGCATTAATTATTCTGGCTGATTATACAAAATTGGCATCTTTTGGAAGTGACTTCTTTACATACAGTATGTCAATAAAAGTTATATCTTAGCAAAACCAGTGTAAGATTTAACACTTTTGGTTCTTAAAATGTACAGAATATCATGGGACTCTAAATAGAGTTCCATATATTATATAGGGGTGCTCCATATGATAATTTTTTTTAGAAAGTACAGAAAATACAATTGAATGTATCCTCAAAAAATAGTTTTGACAAACCTGAAGTGAAATTAAATATTTATGACGAATAAGGAAACAAAAAATGTATCAAATTAAATTGGAAGTTTTCACTTTAACGTTTCTCTTGTAGATTTACATTTAGAAGTAAGAAAAAAGCTGTTTTTAATATTGCAAATTTTCACAAGTTAAAACCAATTGTGTAGTTCCAGTAAAAATTTTGAAGTAAATTGAATGATAACAGTATCCTCTATAGAAAATGCTAAAGTTCCTCTTGAAACATTATATCTTATCATACATGTATTTCATTTCTTTTACTTATTGATTTAAAAAAAGATCAGCTCACTTACCTTTTTGTTGATCCCCGAAAATGGTTGATTTGTTGGTAAAAATGCTTGTATTTATAAGGAATTTTGAACATGATTGTTTTCATATCAATATAATCTAGCAGACCTTATGGACAGTAATCTTTGGATTAGGTTTTTCGACTGTGACACAGCAAATGTTTTTTCAATTATGAAATTGAGATGAGTCTGAAATTGAGTTGTACACAGGATTCTGATTCACGTGTTGTCAATACTACACATAATATGAATGTGGCAGAGTTAACAGTTGTAGATATAAAATTAAAAAACCTTATTTTCAAGTGTTTCAAAAAGGAATTGTATTAAAAGCTAGATCCTTTAAAATAATTTAGAATGTGTGAATTTATGCACATTTTATTCTGTAAGTTACATAACACCACTAATCCTTAATTTGGAAGAAGCTGTTGCTTAGAGGTTCATATACTAGTAAGCCTACCTATAGAACATGTTATGCGATTTATGGATTAGATTTTATACTCATAAATACAATGAAAATGAAATTAAATTTTCCTCTATGATCCATATAGTCATTATTAAGTCATTCTTTGTATTTACCACATTATATGTTATGAAATTTCACTTATTTTGTGTGCATATTCAGCTTTATTATAATATAAATTAACTTAGAAAATTCATTCTAAATTGGGCTTGATTAGATTTTGTGGTGTCATAACAATTTTTAAAGCAATATGACCATTATTTAGAAATAATAGATTTATATTGCAAAACATTTGCAAGGACAGTTTTTCTTCTTTGCTAGTTTTAAACTTTCAAAGCTTCCGCCAAAAAGTTTTTCAACCAATCAGAGCCATCAGCTATGGCATATGAACTTCTAATAAGTATTTGGAACAGTGCAGAAGAAACTCCCATAAGGTAACAAAAAACTAAATGTGTTTCAGTTAATTCTGGGTTATAGTTTACCAGAAAAAAATATTAGAAAAGATAAATTTCACATTTAAACAGTAAATTAATGATTGGTTCTGATGTCAAAAGCAGATGTTACATATTCTACTATTATTATAGCTAGATGCCATTATTGATCATGTCATGGAAGATTCAGATTACTGTTCTCTAAGAATCTAAAAATGTCATAAAGATTTACGATGTAAGAATTCTTGATGTATTCTTGGTTATTCTTAATTATATCAAACCAAAATTCCACCAAGTATAAAATTCAAATCCAACAACTGACCAACTTTGTGATATCAGATTCTTAATTCTAGCTTTTACAACATGAGTTTGTTTTCGGAGTGACAACTTGAATCTTTTTCAACATATCTTATTAATGATTTTCAAAATTGTAAGGCAGTATGAGACTACAGGTAGAGCCTATGAAAATTTGGTATTGTCATGTAGTCACATCAGGAATTTTTACATTTATACGTTTATGTAAACTTCTGAATTTTTTGATCCATAGCTATTGTTGAAATCACTTATGTTATTTTAAAGTTATTTTAAAATTATAATCCTCAAATCTACTTAGTAAAAATAATTCTAAAATAATATCATGCTATGTCTGCATGTCAAGAACTGGTATCTTGTTATATTGGTATTTGGAATTGACATATTCTGTGAAAAACAGTGTTTTTAGTACCGTTTGAAGTATGATCATCTGAGGAATGGGTTTATATCAGGTGGATAAAAAAACGTCCCGAACGTATAACCATACTGTCGAAATTAGTATATAATGAAAACAAAATCACATTTCTTATTTATATGTAAGAAAACTTTTATTTAATTTTTACAGTCTTTGAGACAAGGCATTGGATATGATTCATGAATTTCTAAAAATATGAACATGAATATATGCATTCATGTATTGTCATTGTATGGTGACTGGTAAGATAACACGTTTGGTTTAGCCAAATAGAATTGAAGTTTATTCATTTAAAGAATAATAATATAAATAATTCTGTATTTGCTGCTGGATTTCTTGCTCAAGTTTGCCTGATAAAGCAATGTTGATACAATATGTTACAAGATTACTGTTGATACCAGCTGGTGATTTTCGAATAATATGAGATCGAAATAAACTTGACTCTAGAATCAGATACATGGAAATTCGGTGATAATTATGTCACCATTTAGTCTTAAACTTTTTGGGGACGATCATAGGTGTCTGGCATTTGGCATCTGGTGTTCGGTGGTCACAATCAGAGTTTGGTGTCTTTAACAAATGGCTGGTAGTGACATTTTGCATGTTAATGGCTTGTTTTATTCGTATCTCCTTTGATTCAGCATTCACTTTTCTCTAAGTATTGCGGCCTTTGAAGTTGAGTCAATCAGCCGTTGGAATACAATGTATGTGTATTAATATATATTACTAAGTTATTTACATTACTGAATAATCTAAGAAATAATATTTTTAAATTTTTCAGTTTGGATGAGTTCAATTGCATCATAATAAGTAGCACAGTTTTGACCAGTGATCAGGTCCCATTGGCCCAGTTCTCATTGGTGTTGGAGTATGAATACACAGAGAACTCAAAGTGGCAGGAACTGTGTTTGCGACAGAACATAAGACATATTGGCTTCAAGACAATTAGGCAGCTTGACAAATCTGAGAGTTTGAGTGAGTGAACTTCAGCCTATAACTTTAGAATGTTTTTTTACCAAGACTTGTTTGCAATTTTGAACATATTTTAGCTTATTACAGCTATATTTTTATATAAACTTATTTCCAGTATGCATTTTGAATTGATCCCATTGATTTTATAAGTTTATATGAATGTTTTGCTTATAAAACAATTGAATAAATTGATTACACTTATTACGTATTTTAGATGTTCTACTCCCATCAAGCCCAGCAGAGAGTAAGACGAGGGAGCAATATATGTTCATAGGAACCCCTGTGATCACGGAGAACACTGACCTTCTGCAACTTCTAGAGGCTAGGTGAGTAAAAATATCAGGTGTCTGGCTTGTTAGTTATTCTAGGGATTATTCTAATATATACTGATCATATGTAAAGAGGTATCAGGCTTTCCTAAATCGTTTTATGCGAAGTGGCAACCTATTAAGGTATTGGCATCTTATTAGGTGACAGGATTTAAGGTAGTGACATTTTCAGATAGTGGCATCTTTATGTAATGGTATCTTTAGTGACATCTTAGCTAGTGGCATCTAATATACCTGCATGTAAATTGTTCAATCATTTATTTGCTTGGTTAACATTGCTTTAAAAGTCTCTTCATTATAAGTTAAAGACTTTCTATTAACTTGCTGACATGTGAATGGTTAATACTCCTAGACATATCTGTAATAAAAGTAAGCCCAATCTTTTACATTACAGACATGACATCATTATAGTAGAGAGAGACTTCAATAACATGAGAATCAAACAAACTGATGTCACTTGCCACCTCCATTTTGCTGACATCCTCATTGATGAACGAACTTGTGTCATCTTGGTTACCATGGAGAACCTCAATGATGGGCCCAAACTTGAGAAACTTGTTGCCAGGGTGAATGCTCTGAGACTCAAGTTCACAACATGTTTTTTGATTCTTCATTCTAACTACTCACAGGACAGAAAGGCTAAGTAAATATCTGAAGTACAGTAAAACCTTTATGTATATGAACACTTCTCTTATCTGAATACCTCTCAATGTAAATGCTTTTTTGAGCCCATTTTAATGTCATCACCAGAAGTGTTGACATATTGTTATCGTCTACAACTTTTGTTGTGAACAGTGTTCGGTGTTTGGTTGTTGATGGTCAGTGTTTGGCATCTGTAACAAATGGCAGGTAGTGACATTTTGGACGTTAATGCCTTGTATTTATTTGAACTACTCTCCAAGTACATCAACTATATTGCATCATTCCCTCCATGTACTCCTTCCAGGTACTGTTATGCAGGAAGTACTATACCCCACTGTGCCAGGCTGTTTGCAGCTGTGAGCCATTTTACAAGTAAACAGCATGACTATGAGGTCAAGGTAAGTGTACTGTATTCCTCACTAAAAGTTACCATTAGATTGAATAAAAGAGAGGATTGAACATATTATTTACCAGAGCTTCTTTGAAATTTACAAACTCCCACAGCGATGAATATATTTGTAATATATGCAGGGACGTAGCCAGCTTTCATTGAGGGGGGTGCGATCGCCAAATTTTTTTTTCCCAATTTTCAGTCAGGGAGGTGCAATTGTGGCATAAGAAACCCCCAAAATTGAAGATTTGTTTTGAATTTTACAAAAACTGATGCAACTTTCTTCAAAATTGAGCTAGAAGCTTCAAATAAAAAGAATTTTAAAGCTCTTTTCTTCTTTTATCTAATACATCTATGTTTTTGGTTATTGGGGATCGCACCCTCGCACCCCCTCTTGGCTACGCCTATGACATGTACCTAATCAGGTAGTCACTCTTAAAAAAATCATTGTAACAAGACCTTACATAGTTTACAGTGAGTACTCTAAATGATACATACATATTAATTCACATTTCTTTTTAATGCTTAATATTCTTTTGCAGATATTCTACTCCAGCAGCAACCATGAAACTGCAACTCTGATCAGGCAGCTTGGTGAGTTGACATGCGAGTTGACAAGAGCATGGAACAGGACAGAGTGGTTGGATAGACAATGGCTTAGTGAGGAGGTAACTCAGGTAATAGAGCAATCCATGATTATTGTGTTATTTGTACAATAACAGTCCTCAGTCCTTTCCCCTTCACAGCTGGTAAGTCAAAGAGCATATACATGTATCGTATACAGTGTTCATGCCTCTGAGTAAGAGATATATATGTGGGGGTGGGGTAGGGGGTGAAGCTATCGTAAGCAAAATGCATGATTGACCTACCAACAATTTCTCTGCTATCTGAAATATGTTATTCCAAAACATCTAGTTTGATATCTTTGGAAAGATATGTGAATTCTAACAAATAAAAAATGTACATGTATAGAAATATAAGAAGATTTAATGTTTCCCATTTAAATGAATTAGGTTTTTACAATTTACATGTCTAGCTCTTTATAGGTATTTTGAAGTTTCATTTGTACTTTAAACAATTTAAGATGCTAAAATGTTGAATATGATTCTTTTTTGTTTCAGCATGAACGTTTGCTACTATGTTTCCCTTGTCTTAATGCTTTTAGGTAAGACTTGATACATTTCCATATTCACTTCTCCATTTGCTAGAAGTACTGTATGCATGTCTAAACATGTACATGTAAATAATGTCATTAAGCCATTAATGTGAATTGTAAATGATCTCTGATTTTTGTCACAAGTTTGTCCATGTGAGCCAAAAACACTTCATAATAAAAAAGTGATCATAAAAGAGTATACCATTCCTATATGTTTCATTTTTTAAATTGTAATATGTAATCCATTTCATTCTGACACTAATCTTATTTTATTTGAGATTTAAATTTTAAAAATACACTTCATTTAAAGTCCCCGTCTAAAGTTTGAAAATATTTTTTTTTCATTCATTTACTATTTGTCAGGACTTAAAAAGTGATTTTAGAGATTTTTGAACAAAAAATATTTTTTCAAAAAAAAGTTGTGAGCATTTCATTTCTCAAATATTCAAATTTCCCGCCATTTTTCAAAAAAAGTTGAAATTTCTTAATCATCAAATATTTCTTAATGCATTTCAAAAAAGATTATCTTTTTAACACCAATGCAAAGATTGAACAAAAGACACGCTATTTCAATAAAAAAATGTCATATTTAATGGGCTACACCAATGTTTTAGCTTATCAAAAATATTTTGAAACATTAGTGATGTCACTAAGGTAACAAAAACTTTTTGAAAAAAATTGAATTTTTTTTTTCGATGTCAATCTTTTCTAAATATGCTAGACTTTCATAAAACCAATGTTGATTGTCAAACCAAATTAAAAGGAAGAATAAATTATGTTTTAGATATCATTGTACCATTGGTTTCTATGAGATCTAAAACTTTGAAATGCATTTTTCTCAGAACCATTTTCATGCACTGATAAGTTCATTTCTCGCTTGTTTATCAACTGATTTTCTTAATTTTTTCGGCAAAAAACATGGGAGGATGAATGCTATGCATATGAATTGTGGCTAATTATAAGATATGAGTGACCTCTAAAAGTTGGTTTTAAATAAATTCACAAATTTTGGAACAAAAAGTCTATCAAAAACCACTTTTTGAAATTAAAAAAAAAAGTTTCACATATCACACTTTGATAACATTGGGTAAGACTACAATATTAGCCAAAGTGGTTTAAACTTTACATGGGGCCTTTAATTATCAAATTTGAAAAGATACACTGGTGCGTCATTGTGGATTTGTGAAAGAATTGATCACTTTCAATTTGACACAAATCTTGTTATATTTGAGATTTAAATTTTAAAAATACACTTCATTTCATATAATTTGTTTATTTTAAAATATACACCAGTGCCTCATTGTGAATTGGCATCTCCAGAAACTGAAAACTGAGAGGGATTGAATGATTTTAATGATACATCTTCATACATCAGGCAAACTAAGACTTCTCCAAACATGACATAAGATCACAATTATATGTAATCTTGTAATGGGCATTCCATCTAGGTTTATTTTGGTTATCATGCTCCTGAAATTGACTATTTTTATATTGAAAATATTTCTGCAACAATTGATCAAATGAGATCTGTTTCTAAAGATGTTGCACTTGACATCTTTAATGTGACATGAAGCAATGGAAAATGAGTTACTTGCTTTCATATTAACTATAAATGTATGTCTGCAATGTTTCAATGGTCTATGTACGTAACAGCACATTTTTCTGTAATGTGCAATGGAATATGAGTTACTTGCTTTCATATTGTAAATATGTCTGCAATGATTCAATGGTCTATGTAACGAGCACATTTTTCTCTAATGTTTTTAATAGATACTCATAATTTTTCAGAAGAAACCTGTACAGATTATATCAATTTTATATACATGTATTATCCAGCATCTTGAAGGACCCGGATGAGAATGTCACATTATGTTCACATCACTTGCCATTGAACTTTATAGTAACTTGAGAATTTCTCTGCCAGGGCTATGATTCTTAAAAATGTAGATCATTTGTCTTCAGTTTATTGTTATGTCCCCACCACATAGTGTGGGGCCATATTGTCGGCCTAGGCGCGTCCATCCGTCCGTCTGTCCGTCTGTCCGTCCGTCCGTCCGTCTGTCCGTCCGTACGTCCGGGAGTTTTCTCCAAAACCGCTACAGATATTACCTTCAAATTTTCAGGGATAACTTATGAGTGCATACAGATGTGGATGAAAAAAATTTAACTCGATACCAACTTCCTGTCGGCCATTTTGAAGTCAAATGCTAAAATCCTTGTCTGCAAACTTTAAGAAAAACGGCTTCACAGTTGCTTTTAAAACTTTAACATCTTGTTCAGCTCACTTCATTCTAGATCTGATTAGGTTTTGGACCTGTTAGCTCAGTCATGTCAGCCATTTTGAATGTCTTAAGAAAAGTTAGCGCACGATAATACTTTGTATCATATTGAATGGTGTTTTTGAGTTTTCATATTCTAACTATTTAGTAGCTTTATAAATAATTTCAGATGTACTTTGTTGTTAAAGCCTATGTTATTGTTAACAGTAGTTATATGTGATAATTTTGTAAAAAGAAATCAGCAAAAACTCATGATCACTTTTTTATTGTCGGCCATTTTGGATTTTTCCGTCCTAAAATCTTGTCTGTGGAGTCTTGTCTACGTGTTTTCAGGTGAACCGTTTGGTGGATCAATTCTAAATTTTCAGGGATGATTCTTAGTATAAAAATCTAGATCTGATTAGTTTTTTGGCATTCTGGGTAAATGTCAAGGCAGCCATTTTGGATTTTCCGTCCTAAAATCTTGTCTGTAAAGTCTTGTCTACGCGTTTTCAGGTGAACCGTTTGGTAGATCAATCTCAAATTTTCAGGGATGATCCTTAATATGAAAATGTACAACTGATTAGTTTTTTGGCATTCTGGGTAATTGTCAAGGCAGCCATTTTGGATTTTCCGTCATAAAATATTGTCTGTAAAGTCTTGTCTACGGATTTCCAGGTGAACAGTTCTGTAGATCAATTTCAAATTTTCAGGGATGATTCTTAGTATGAAAATCTAGATCTGATTAGTATTTGGGCATTCTGGGTAAATGTCAAGGCAGCCATTTTGGATTTTCCGTCCTAAAATCTTGTCTTTAGAGTTTTGTCTACGCATTTCCCGGTGAACCATTTGGTAGATCAATTTCAAATTTTCAGGGATGATTCTTAGTATGAAAATCTAGATCTGATCAGTTTTTTGGCATTCTGGATAAATGTCAAGGCAGCCATTTTGGATTTTCTGTCTTAAAATCCTGCCCGTTAAGTCTTGTCTACGCGTTTTTAGGTGAACCGTTTTGTAGATCAATTTCAAATTTTCAGGGATGATTCTTAGTATGAAAATCTAGATCCGATTAGTTTTTTGGCATTCTGGATAAATGTCAAGGCAGCCATTTTGGATTTTCCGTCTTAAAATCCTGCCCGTAAAGTCTTGTCTACGCGTTTTTAGGTGAACCGTTTTGTAGATCAATTTCAAATTTTCAGGGATGATTCTTAGTATGAAAATCTAGATCTGATTAGTTCTTTGGCATTCTAGGTAAATTTTAAGGTGGCCATTTTGGATTTTCCGTCATCAAATTCTGTCATTTGACAGGATCACCCATAGGTGGGGACATTTTGTACACATTTGTGTTCTTGTATCTTTCTGCATTCTTATGACTGACACAGTGATATGATATTGTAAGTGTATGACATTTCTGGAAACAGTCCCCTGCAGGCTATCGTCATGTTTTAATGAGATGTAATGTTTTTAAGGCACATTATCTTTTATTTTAGTGCACAGATTCTGCTGAGTGTGTCACCTTTGAAATCACTGGTTGCTATGACAATACCAGCTCTACAGGACAAGTGTCCCTGGATACCTGTCAGAATGCTGCAGGTAAATTTTATAAGAGTTATGCACTGGGAGGTTTTAGATACAAGGTTTATCCCAAGGTTGATATATGTCTCCCACTAAGGGACCTGAAAGATCGAGGAAAATATACATATTTCCAAAGGGATAACTCCTGTATTATCAACCATTCATAACAGAATATCTCATATATAATATTCCATAAAATTTAAATAATGGAGCTATATATTGCTACCTAGAGCTTCAACGATATTAATACACCTGTGTGATCTTGGTAGGAATGAAGTGGAATGAATACCCAGGGGGTTCACTGTGTTCAAAATTTGGCGGGGGTCATAGGCTGAACCCTCAAATTCCAATATGTTCCAATACCAACCAAAATAACGCTCAAAGCCACACCAAATGTCCAAATATAGAATCAATGCCATTTCACAAGGGAAACAACTAATATTCAAACTGAAGAAGGCCCAAGAAGGAGGTCAATCTTTAAGAAAAATGATTCAAAACAATCTCAAATTAAAGATTTGTGTAAGTACTAAACCAATGCCAAACTAAAGTGTGAGGTCACATATTTTTCAAGACCATTCTCATACCAGAAAGTTGAAAATCCAACCATTGCTATATGTCAAAAGTCATAATTTCGGAGGCATTCTCATACCAGATCCTAAAATGTGGGTCCATTGTCAAATGTCAAAAAAGGCACCCTATGTGCGCCGAGGATCCCCGTCAAGGTTTATATTGTGAACCCCCAGGAATGAATACAGCTTAAGTTTGCAAGTACAATAAGATATTAGAGATATCATATTGACCATGGAATAAACATATTCAATTTGCAATTCATGATAAATTAGTTATGTGATATTCGTTTTTAGATATGGGGCATTCCCTCGATTGAAAGATATATCTTCCACAGGTTCTGAAGACTTAATACAGTATAACTGCAATGTGTAATATAGACCTTTATACATTGTCATATGCATTGTGGCAGAGGTGACTGGCAGTTACATCCTTTGTACTTTGGGTGTTCACAGTAGAATGATGATGGAGTCAGATTGTTTCCACATAGGCAGACAGTTGAAGGAATACCAGTCCATTTTAATTGGTTTCCTAAAAATGGTTATACACCTGTCATTTTCATGTATCAAAGCTATTTATTTATCTTATTAAGATTTACACAAATAGAACTTTTCTTAAATGGAATTAATTCTTTAATTTGACAATGATAAGGGAATGCTTCAAAAATGACCTGTATTCTTTTATTTATTGATTTCTTAAAAGTGACCTATTTTTGAGATGTCAAGACATTTAAGTGTTACATACAAACTATCACTAAATGCAAAGCTAAGAACTTTAAGTTTCATTTCATATATCTTTCATACCTGGTTTTATCGTCTGTTTAATTACTCTTGAGATTGAGACTCCACTCTGGATGTGTTTCATCATATTCTTCAGTATTCCAGCATCTTTGTTCAGCACTTGGTAGACAGGGTCTATTTTTGGCAGCCTTTTCAGATAAAAATTCTTGAACTCCTAGAAATATATAATTATTATAATAAAAGGTACAATTAAAAGATATTCATATTTTAGTCCATAGATTAACTCAACTGTCTGTCATACCTCTGGACTTTTGTGACATCTGAATTCTTTGGTAGGAATATAGTACAAGTTACACGATTGAGGAGATTCTAATCAAGAATGATTGAAATAACAGGGATAAAATATGTATACTGAAAGAATTATCTGCAGCTACATGCATGCCCCATCTGCCCTCCTAAATGCAGACCTTGAGCAGTATGATCATGGGCTTTCAATTACAGCCCATGTTATGATCTACATGCATCTGTACTTACAATTAAGCCCTTCAGTAGGATCAACAGCTCATTGAAGGGTTTGAATCTCTCTACCGAGGTACAGTTACAATTCAGTGCTTTGGATAGACTCTTTGAGAATTCCTGTGGCCCAATCCAGGGCCTTTCTTGAGAATGAGTCAGTTGATCTGAGAGAAAAGGAATATTTGGTAAACAATTGCTGTATTTGGTTCAAGGTTCAATGCAGTTTTAACATAAAAGTACATGTATTGTATTCAACGCAATAATCCTCTATGGGCTTTAACTAATATGAATTAGAAAAACCCACATGACTTACCTAAGGTATCCAAGATTTCTTTAGCAGATCCAAATAATTCGCGGAGTTCCGTTAAGGTATTATTTATTTTCTGAAATTGTTCGAGTAGGGATTTCATTAGCTTCAACAATTTTTCTGTTGATACTTTTTGTTTATGGATCGATAAATTGAGACTATTTCCAGCTGGGATATTTTCAGATATCTTCTTCAGCAAATCCTGAAAGACAAAGGAACCTGTTACATATAACAGGGTCAAATTACTTTGTTACAAGCTTTGTTACAGTTTAAAAAAGTTGAAAAACTTGAGTTCTCGCAAAATACAGTAATACAAAATGCAGAGTTTACCTTGAGATCTTCCAACATTTGGATCAAGTTTTTCAGGAATATGATAATCGCCTCATCATTTCTCCACATGTTTACATTCTTGTGAAATTCATCAAAGCGTCGTTCAAATATATCCAACTTGAGCATGAGATTGTGTGCATCTGGGAAGTTCACTAAATCAGGGTTTAATGGAACTGGTCGACCTACTAAAGACCCCAGAGGTACAATTTGGCCAGGAAAGAGTCCACCACCCCCAAATGTCCCAATGGGGTGGTTTATGTTGAAAGATGATACAGAAGGTATCCATGCCATAGCCAAAAACACACCTGAAATGTAAAGTGAGGATTGGTCGCTAATTACCTCTTTATGATTATGATGTCATGCACTATACAGCCTACAACAATTCGTACCATCTGTGCCATTGCAATGCATATTCGTCAACATTATGCAAGATAAAACAGTGATTCTGGAAATACTTATGCAAATAAGATAAAAACTAATAGTAAGAATGAAAAAGTACCTATTGTCAATATCAGCTTCCACATGATCCTGTTGAAAAGTCTCAATTAATAAAATACAATAAATATGAAATACATATCTTTTATATTGATGCCAATTTATTACTTTATTAATTGATTCTTGCTACATTAGATTAAATTAAGTTAAATGAGCATGTTTTCCTTGACAAGTCATCCTTGCATGGAACAATGAATATTATCTAGTGAGAGGTGTAATCCAGTTAATGATGGTGGAAAGTTATTAAACAGCTTTTTAATTGAAAATTAACACATCTTGGATTTCCAAGGTATGATGTTTACATTGATTGAGAATCAAACTGGGAAACGAGTATGAAATTAACAAGGCATTTAGGTAATCCAAGCGAAGTAGAATATAGGTCAATGACCACTGGTATTACTTTCGTACACACATGGTCCAGTGGTCAAAATAATCATTATATAGATCAACCGATTTAATGTCCATTTTCAAGAATTCAATTTATAGTTATGATTGACTTAAAAATTAATTTAGTGAAATGACAAATGATAATTTTATTTATGTTATGAATTAATACTTGATTACACATATATTTTAATTTATGTTTTAAATATGCATTCATGCATATAAATCTCCAAGAATTTATCCAAGTAATCATATTAGCTGATTTTTATTATTTTTACTGAATATCGAGATGTCCGAAACTCTTTGAAATCATCCACGACACATTTGATTTTGGTTTGTTACTTGGTTTCCAAATGGTTGATACCAGATTGTTCGGGTTTGAGGATTTCCAAATGGTTGATACCAGATTGTTAAGGCTTGAGGATTTCCAAATGGTTCACAGTCAGAGAGAATGTTTCTGGCGAAATTCTGGGATTTCAAATACTTGAAGTTGGGAAACCGGAAGGGCTTACCTTTTTTAATTCCCGAATCTCACCGAATCTCTCCGAAATTAGCTCATCTTGGTGACTGTAAATTGCACAGCTGTATTCAATGGAGTCTTGTCATATTCAATCAGCCTCAATTTTAAAGTGTATATTTTATTTTCAACGTGATTTCATCGTTTTTTGTCGACTGGTAAGAATACGCTGGGCAAATGGCAAGATGGATGACTTTTGACGTGACCTACACCGATGGCGGTGACGTCATCAATTTTATCTATACAAATTCTATTTGGTCACGTGACCTTGTGCCAGAAGTCCGACTTTTTGGTCAGTCGACCTGTTCAAAGTACATTTAGTCATAATTATCGCTTTTCAGAACAATTTAGGAAACAATATTTTCTATCTACGTCGATTACAAAGCATCTAAGGTACGTAAATTTATATGAACAACTGAGTCAATAGGGATAAATAGCCCAACGAGAGTCGGCGGTCTTAAAAAATACTTGGATCTGGATGCCAGTCCTGGTATAGATATAGTTCCAGGGCAGTTCGAAGAACGTATTAGATGTCCGTGAAATGGTTGATACCAGATTGTTTAGGTTTGAGGATTTCCAAATGGTTGATACCAGATTTTTCGGTTTTGAGGATTTCCAAATGGTTGATACCAGATTGTTCAGGTTTGAGGATTTCCAAATGGTTGATACCAGATTGTTTAGGTTTGAGGATTTCCAAATGGTTGATACGAGATTGTTTAGGTTTTGGGATTTCCAAATGGTTGATACCAGATTGTTCGGGTTTGAGGTTTTCCAAATGGTTGATACCAGATTGTTCGGGTTTGAGGATTTTCCAAATGGTTGATATCAGATTATTTGGGTTTGAGGATTTCCAAATGGTTGATACCAGATTGTTTAGGTTTGAGGATTTCCATATGGTTGATACCAAATTGTTTAGGTTTGAGGATTTCCATATGGTTGATACCAGATTGTTCGGGTTTGAGGTTTTCCAAATGGTTGATACCAGATTGTTCAGGTTTGAGAATTTCCAAATGGTTGATACCAGATTGTTCGGGTTTGAGGATTTCCTAATGGTTGATACCAGATTGTTTAGGTTTGAGGATTTCCAAATGGCTGATACCAGATTGTTTAGGTTTGAGGATTTCCATATGGTTGATACCAAATTGTTTAGGTTTGAGGATTTCCATATGGTTGATACCAGATTGTTTAGGTTTGAGGATTTCCATATGGTGGATACCAGATTGTTCAGGTTTGAGGATTTACAAATGGTTGATACCAGATTGTTTAGGTTTGAGGATTTCCAAATGGTTGATACCAGATTGTTTAGGTTTGAGGATTTCCAAATGGTTGATACCATATTGTTCGGGTTTGAGGATTTCCAAATGGTTGATACCAGATTGTTTAGGTTTGAGGATTTCTAAATGGTTGATACCAGATTGTTTAGGTTTGAGGATTTCCATATGGTTGATACCAAATTGTTTAGGTTTGAGGATTTCCATATGGTTGATACCAGATTGTTCAGGTTTGAGGATTTCCAAATGGTTGATACCAGATTGTTCGGGTTTGAGGATTTTCAAATGGTTGATACCAGATTGTTTAGGTTTGAGGATTTCCAAATGGTTGATACCATATTGTTTAGATTTGAGGATATGAGCACAGTTGATTTTATTAATTAAATGGAGGTGTTAAATAAGACACATTATGCAGAATCAGTGCAATGTTCTTGGTGGGGTTAATTGTTAGGATTATCAAAATAAGAAAGATTTTCAAAATTGTAATATTGATCTGTATTTTCAGATGTTCCACAGGTTAGTGAACACTAACAGTGGAGTGATACCCAACAATGAAGTGAAACCCAACCATGGAAAGATACTGAATAGTGGAAAAATAACTAACCCAAGACCAACCACTGTCCAACAAGATGTAGGCAAAGCCACACGTGATAATGGTACAAGTGAGAAACATCAGGAGATGAGCCATAGAAATAACATCACTGATCTGAATAAAACTAATGTCTCAAACATTCCCACATTTACCTCACTTTCCAAGGAGCAAGTTAGTCTGCCAGAATCCCGACTTAAAACTAAGAAACAGACATTAGAAACTGATAGTCCTCTAGATGTTAATGTCTGTGATGAGGAGGATGAGGGAATGGAGGAGGGAAATAAGCCTAATGAGTTCATCAAAGCTATGATTGAACAGGATACCATGTCGTTTCCCAATAGTCAGCCTGGTGAAGAGTTTTTTGGTGAAGAAATCAAGGCAAAAACATCTAGCAATCGTCTGGATCCTGAGAGACAACCTATGAAGAACCAGAGAGACCTCAATCTGAGGAACCCAAGAGGTCTGAGTTCCCCAAATTTTGATATACATTGTGAGTCAATTGACTCAGGTGAGAATACCCAAATGGGTCATGATTTGAATCCAAAAAGACAATGCTTTGATCGGAAATATAGCAAAGAATTCAGTCAGCCTCAGATTTATGTACCAAAAAGATGTATCAATCTTCCTAAACAGCAAGACGTAGGCATTAGAGATACTTCCCTCAGAAGGGCTAATCCTAGGAACAACCAGCTAACATCTCAAACAGGACTATCTAATAATGAACACTCAAGTCTCAAGCCAAGCTATAACGACCAGTTAGACTACTCCCACAATGTAGGACCTCAAGGTGACTCCCATTACAGTTTCCACGGTGACAGAAATTTTGCTTCAAGAAATCAAGTTTTGTACAAGCCTCCCAAAAGCCTACCTCCCAGAGAACAAATAAGAGGTAGACTAAGTGATCTCTATTATTCTGACCAGAGGGAGGTTGGTGTTAGAGGAATGGATGATAGAGAAACAGGCATTAGTGGTGTTAGCGCAAGGGGACAGGAAACAAGGGGACCGGAGTCAAGAGGACTTGACCCAAGGGGACCACACATGAGGGAAACCGATCATAGATGGGTCAACAGGGAAGACAGACCGTCAGATTACATTAGAAGACCAGGTCAGATGGATTATGACAGTGTATCATCCAGACATGTAGGAAGAGCTCAGCCAAATATCAGGACTGCTGAAACAATCAGAACAGGTTTGTGATATCATTTATATGTCATATCCATCATGTATCGTGTCAATCATATATTATCATATCAATTATACATAATATCAATCATATACTGTATCATATCAGTATATCAGTAATTATATTATAGCAATCAGAATCCCCATTTTGTCTTTGATATTTCAAAAAGCAATGAGGACTCATAATGATGTGCAAAAGGCAATTTGTAAAATCGTCTAGTATCTTTGATATCTAGTAAATTGTTATTTTATGAAATATCCTCTTTGTTGAATTTAAATTGAAATCAGATATCAGATAATGGATGTATGGATACAATGAATGAACATATAAGTAATATATAAGTATTCAAGTAATAAGTTGTAATATAAGAATTTATTATTACATTTTCTCTTGGATTGCATAATTGAAAAAGCTGAACATGTACTTATACAGTTAATGTTTTTTTAGGGCAACCAATCGATGTGTCGCCCCCTATGGACCTAGACAGTGACAATTATGTGCAGGTATGATGTAATGTTCTCAATGGTATTTACTGTATTGTTCCTAATCAGCACCCCTTCAAAAGTGCTTCTATTGGAGATAATATGGTAAATTATATTAAACTTATAGAGATAATTCAAGACATGTTAATATACACCTATAGTAAAAATAAAGTAAAATTCATTGTGCGCTCTAAATATACATATATCTTGTGGGAGGGGCAACTAATACTGAGTTTTTTAGTTTAGTTTACCTTATAAAAATTAATTATCAGATAGAAATATGAGGAGGTTTTTTTTGATGCACATTAAGTACATCTTATGTTGTTTTGTCTTAAACTGTATCTGCCCCTTTTTGGGGACCCTTACACATTATATGTATTCCACATTTTGATAGAATCACCTTCATCAGATTTAAGTAACCACACGTACCAAATGTATTTTCTATTCTGTAGGATTCTGAGCGGTTATATCATGACAGAGACTCCATGTGCCACAGACTCAAGACACCAGGTGAGGTTGGAAAATATTATCCAATACTGTGCTAGTATTTCATTCTATTGAAGGGAGTACCTGTTCATCTCTTACAAATCATATTCATTAAAGCCTGAAGGGTTCGTGGACTATCATCTCATAAAAGTTACAGAAGTACTCACGGAAAATGAAAATTTGATTCATACTGAACAGAATTTTATTTTTAAAAATTCCAAGGAGTGGTGAATACTGCTAGTTATTCAAGGGTCTTCTAATTTGATAAGCATGGTTGGTGATAATCACCTTCTCTTTCATGACATGTGACCCTGTACTTTTAACCAGTCATACACCAGTCAGACATGACAATGAGAATGACAGCATTCTACAGATTCTGTCAGATTTTGGCAGCCATTTCAACAGCCATTTCAACAAGATTATATTTTTAATCAAATATACCTGTATCTGTGACTGATAACATGTCAGATTACATTATTTACTTATTGCAACATTAACTGTCTAATGATAATCATTGTTTCAGTTAGACCCTACCTAGAGGTCCCAAGGAGGAGGACCAGAGTAACAATGACCCCAGCTACAAAACAATCCAAGTTAACCTTTGAGAAGGTCCCTGGTAGACCTGGAGGTCAGACTAGATTATCATTTGGAGGACCATAATCTGAGAACACAGATTTCAGGAGTATGGATATTTAAGACCATGTGTTTCAATAAATCCCATTAAGAATGTTCGTAGAATTAAATTGAAGGATATCTCATATTTTGAAATAAAACAAGGTACATGTATGCACATGTATGGGGGATCACATCTGGGACTAGAAAAGGACAGCTCTATATTCAACAAATGGAGAATGATCAGACCTCTGAATACATGTAGTTAATCTACATATACAGTCATGAATTACAAAGGCACCAACTATGTCAATTAGGCTAGCATTATTTTTTCATGATGCAGAGAGGTTCTATCCCGGGTTCTATAGCCTCAGGCGCATGCATTTATAGTCTGATGTAACATGTTGAATTTGAATAATTAAATAGATTTGTATTATCACATCAATTTCATCAACTCTTACATGTTCAATAGTATCTAGGCATGTCTCTTGAAGTTGTACATGAATTGATATTTGCCTCAAATAACACCCGAGTAGTTCAGAGTATTACATGTATATACCAAGTTTTATATATGAATGTACATATAAGATGCATAGTGTTGTGTATTTGTGCAAATATCTTTATTTATTTTATAAATTATCCATCATTCAATCATTGTGCTATATAGATAATTAATTTAGTTACAGTTTGATGAAATATATAGTACTGTACTGATGTTCACATGTAAATGATGTATTAACAAGGCTAAATCTATTATAAAGACTAATACATAAAAATGATGGCACAATTTCAGTATGATTGACATCAATATTCATTCCAATAGCCTTGGTACATTTGGGGATTTGTTAGTTTGGGACGCTCGATAAATCCTGCAAAAGATGTCATAATAGTTGATTGTTGATAAATGGCAGATCAGCAAAATGTTCCAAAATCATCTTGAGCCAATACTGTACATGTAGTATCAATTTGATTATTTTAGCCCTTTCAGGCAATCTTTCATTTAATTTTGTTTATGATTACATAATAATTCACAGTGTAAGCATTTGATGTTCAAATTGATGTTACATTCATAGTGCTTTAGCAATTTATCATTCAGAAGAAATAGGAAAGATATGTTATACAAAGTGTCAGTTTTATGTTTGAAATATCTTGAGGTCCAATCAATTGTACAATGTACAGTAAAACCTGTAGTGTCTGCTTTGAACACTCCTATGTTTGGCTAAAACTTATCAGTGAGTACTGTTCACAATTAGAGGTTCTGAAAACATGGGTGTCCTTAAGATATCCAAAAAGGCACTGAAAAGGGAGGGATTTACAGACATTTGTTTTACTATACATATACTTGTGTAACAGTATATAAATGAAACTATAAGGCACTTCAAGCCAGATAAGGCAAAACAAATATTAATTAATATAAACTTAATATAAATTCATTTGTTTTTTTATAAATAATTTGTGAATTTGACAATATACAGGAACATATACTGATTGAGTGCTGAAGTGGCATAAATATTACACTGTAAACTGGGTCAATTTATTAGACACTTTTTCACTCTGAGGCAATGAAACTGTATGTCTATAAAACCTAAAAGATAGGCAATCAAAGGACCACAGTGCAACATTATATTAAGAAATACATTCATATTTTAGATGCAAAATGTTTTCATATTTTGGATTGCTTGTGATTTGGCTAATTTTGCTGCTTCTCTGCTCTGTTATTTTGCAAAAAATGATAATTGAAAAAATCTACAAGAGGTCATCATTGAAAAAATCTACAAGAGGTCGCAGCCTAACTGCATATAAAACTAAATTATCTGAAATAAACTAGAGTTTTGTATCTGCAGTTTAATTGTATTTTATAATAATATTGCAATGTGATCCTGTTTTTAGAAAAGACATACATTTTTGCTGCCTCACGCTGTAATCTTTGGGGTATTTTTGCCATTTGGTGGATAAAGGCAACATTTTAATTTTGGCAGTTTTTGTGAAAATACCTTAGAATACCATAGATAAACATTGTAATCTGGTTAATGACAGATTTGAATTGGTTATCTTGTAAAAAATACCAACTTAAAATGACCCACAATTAAAGCAATTTACAGCATACATAAGGCTTGGAATCTTCAAAGAATTTCAATTCTCCAAACAGATAGTCTCCACAAATTTCGTCCTCAAGAGGCCCTCAACATCGTTTGAAGAGGAAGAAATTATTCGAGAACTTGGAGTTTTGTGTTAGGAGAATGAGGAATTCAAAGAGAGATAAATAGATTGGAAGCTCCATCTATTATAAATGCCTTAGAAAAAGTCTGCAACTGGTTTAGGGAGAGCATCTATGTCTTCATATTCATCAATAAATCCACCATAAGTCCCATTGGTGGTTCGCCTTTTCACAAGTTTTTGTGACCTAACTGGGCCATTCACTTTAGCACAATTCATTAAATATCCAAGTTCTCCAGGAGCAATATCAGGACCATGGCGGCGCCTATATGTGTGTTCATCTACCCTCCTTTGGATAGCTTCTTGGGGGTCTGTCAGCATATGTAGTCTCCCGTTTGGATCAGCGGCTACTCCTAGCTCTCTGGCGATATTTGGCAAAACCCATGCACCATTACCAGAGTTGATGATCTGTTGGGTATTTAGGCATTGAGATGGTTGATGGATCCCAGTTTCTTTAGGAACAAAGCCATTCTTTTTTGCTGCTTTTCTGTCAAAGCAATAGTGATTTCGGATCCTTGGAGATGTTGGCCTTGGTTTAACATGAGGGTTCGCCACCCAGGGTGCTTTACGGGGCCCAGGGAGAGACCATTCTCCAGGTTGAGGAGTGCCGGGCTTATCACCATATGACATCATAGGGTTTCCACCAGCGGGCACTGACTTGGACCTGATGTAGTCTAGGTCATTGGCAGTATTGGTGTTGATTGGCTTGTTTAGAGTGAGAGCCATGCGCTTCATATGCTTATCTATCATTTTCTGAGTATGAGTTGGGTGTTTCACCTCACCCCCGTATTCCTCATTGTATTTATCAGGCTGGGGGTGAAACCAGCGCAGGTAGAGACTATGCCCATGACCTCCTCTGTAATATTCTCCATAGTCCCCATTACTGGTCGCCCATGGGGGGTAGACAGGGTTCCTAGCCAAGACAGGCATATAGACCACATTTGCATTTTTGTCACCCATATTAATCGGTCTTTTGAGGTGCTATTAGAAATGTTCTTTTAATGACTCACCTCCAAATGTCTGATATTGTCAATATTGTATCACTTATCACTTATCTATCCTTATTGAAAACTACACTATAAAAGTCCTTATTCCTGTATATCTCATGGATCCTATGGCTCAATATATGCCAAAATTGTACAAAAATCCTACTATTTTATGTAAAAATTTACCTGTACAGGTAAACATGCAGACTAATACACGCTGGTGTTTTCACCACTATAGCAACGACCTTACAGGTCACATGACCTGAGTTAATGTACCTATGGCTCTTGTAGAATAAAATCAATAGTGAATATACACAAAAGGTAGGAATAAGATAAGCCTAAGTACTAATGATCTCAGAATAAATCAATTGACACAAGCTTACAAATTATACCAGTGGGGATAATAGTATAACAATTTAAGTAAACATTATGGATTTAATGGATAATAGATTTGGTATCTTGCAAGCAGTTCCTAATTGAATTAAAGCTTGAATCACTTGATATAAACCTGTCATTGTACTCAGTTATACGTTGCATTTAAAGATGGCAGTACTGTTTATCTGTTTTGTCCTAAAAATGGAATGATAAAAACTTTTTCTGTGTGTAATGTCCATTTTAAAATTTTCTTTGACATGGGTCATTTTATATTATATTCATAGATAAGGTGGCAATGATCAAATTGGAAATAATTAAATAATTCTAAAATATTATATTGAATTGAACTTAGTAAGAAATCACTGAATATAAGTTTCTTTTATTGAACAAATTAATCATGGAATTATTTTTTGATGTATGTTTTTAATAGTACATGTGTAGTTCAAATCTTACTGTTAGGAACCATATTTATTGTGTGCATTGTAAAATATATTCAGATATATACAGATATACTCTGCTAAGATGTAAGAATGTTTTCAATTCTTGTTGTTTATTTGTTATGTATTTGTTATGCTGTTACTGACATTATGTACAAAATATACATATTCACATAATGTTTTTATTATGAAATTATTTCAATTGATTGTCAATAAAGAAAGGTTTAAAAATACATCATGTTGTAATTTGTTTGTAATTCTGCTATTGTCATCTTTCTCTTTATCACAAAAAATTCTGGTTACAATGAACTTTTGATTTATATGTCTCTGATCATACAATCATGACACTGTAAAAATTGAAAGTCAATTTCACCCCTTCAAATCATTTTTCTCTTGCCTCAATGGACTAGATGCGAGCAGAAATAATCTTGATTTATGTCATTAAATGTTCAAAATTCAAAGTGATGTCATATTTGAAATTTACATATACAGATATAAAAGTACATCTAGAAACATGGTTTCGGTAATTGTTTATCAGCTTTGAAAATTAATTTTTTTCCCGATAAACCCCATGTTATAAAATCACAGTGCTATATTTTTTTCTTTTATTAGACAGATAACATTTTCTTTTACTGGACATATTTTAATTTGCATAATTATTAGATACATAAGGGTGATATGAAAATAAAACCATTAAAACAGATGAATATTAAAGTTAAAGGGAACTTTCTACCCACCATGCTATCTGACCAGAATGAGCCACCTGGTGGTAAAACTGGAAAACACTTACTCGCATATGAGTTATTTAGGTCCTGATGATGTCCCTGATCTTTTTCGATAATGTAATTCAAAATTAAAAAGTGAAAATATTTTTAAATCTAATCAGTGTTACATGCATGTATATTTAGACAGATTAAGTCAAGCAAAATGAGTTAAAAATCGTTTGCATAATTTTTTAGATGACCCCCCTACATAGATACATCTTGGATGAAGAAAAAATACAAACATCCACTGTATACAGAGCTATAAATACAGACAAGGCAGAGGACCTACCCACAATCCCACTGGCGGATTGTGATGGGCCTTGGCCCCTCCCCATGGTTGGCCCATCTCAATTAGTGGGCCTCTTTGGGCATTACTGGGCCTTATTTTTTAAATTTAAAAAATGGGTCTTAAATTGTCAAACCTGGCCTCAAGTTTTTGTTAAGGGGCCAACATTTTTTTCTGAGCAGAAAGATTTCTTTCAGACTTGAAATTTGCCCCCCCCCCCCCCTCTGTGCCCCCCCCCCCCTCTGTTAGTTTTCAGATCCGCCCCTGAATACAGCCCTTTCCCCTCATGACACTTTAAAGATTTGTTAGTATTAAATTTGCAGGTAATAGATAGTGCTACCGAAATAAATTAAGACTCGAATAATATGCATGCGTCTTGAGTGGGTCTACATTTCTTCAGCTTCATTAATTCTTGGAACGTTTGAATGATTATTACGTTCGCCATTCTAATCAATTAATTATCCGAGTGCGCATGCGTGAAGCCGGTGAATATGGACAAGTAGCGAAAATCAACTTTCTCTCAAATATAATCGGATTTTGCATCGATAATCTCTTACATTGTGAATGACATTTGGATAATTATAAATATATAGCTATATTTTACATTTTCAAGAAGTTTCGGACGTAACAGGCCAAGAAAAACACCTGAAATTGCCACCTGAAATGTGAGTATTTTTAAAATAAATTTGACTGAAAAGTTGACAGATGCTTTTTTGTTTTTTGACAGTAAGAAATGAAGTCTTTGTAATTGCTTTAGGCTATGGCTCTAAAAATCGACAACAGAAGGCAAGGCAAATCATCGAAACAATATAGGCACATATAGATGCACAGAATCAAGAGTTTTTATGTTTCGTTCCAGCATTGGCTTATAATTTCAATCGCAGTCTGCCAATCATCATGATCATCGATTGTTTTTTTTGTAAATTAAAGAAAAAAATCTCCAATGGTCGAGAGTTTAAAACAAGATGGTCGAACACAGAAATTTGCATTATTGATTGGAGTCTGCATTACTTATGTACCCCCATAAATGTGGGGTTGATTTTTCTACAACTACATACTTGTGTATTGAAATCTTGGGGTTGAAAAAAATTTGCCAGTAGTTGACTCAAAGCTGGATTTTATCTAAATAGCCATAATTCAGCCCGAGATTTCAATACACAAGTAGCTGGTGTAGTGACTGATTTGAAAAATCAACTCCACATTTATGGTGGTATACTAATGTTAACTGCTAGTAGCCCTACTGCAGACTATATTCATTGGTCATGGTCATAGCCCCTGGAAGAAATAGCCCCATATGTCAAAGTTTGACAGAGGCCCTCTTTTTTGACCATAGGCTTTGATTTGACCGAAGGGTTTGCATTAGGTAGGGAGGCAATTCCGTCTATGTAGGTAATCAATGGCACTGAGGGTGTCTAACATTGCCTCCCTGTCCTTTATTTTGCTGTGTTATAACAGAGATCTTCATCAAAGGTCAGTGAATTATCTCAGAACCTTTTATGAGTGTCTATCAAATTTGTTACTGATATACTAATAATATCAGAGATTCACTTACGTCATTATATGATAAACCTTATACAAACTCTATGGTATCAGCTGATTGGTAAACTTTCTAATGGAGATTTGCAATAATATCGAAGAAACGCAATTTACTTTGAATATTTCTTAGCTTATTAATGTTACGAGAGTCTAGCTTCAAAGAGTTGGCTGATTGGGTCTGACCTTGGTCTGTTCAAAAAATGTATTTGAGAAATGATTTTTGTTAAGACTTTCTCAGACATATTTATTATATTTTAGTAGATTATAACCATATCATGTTGTACTTTTGGTTGTTTTAGTTATAAGCAATTTTGCAAGACTTTTTGAACAAATATATAATAATGAATTGAGTGATATTTAGTAGTTTTACTGACCAAAGTTTACTCCTGTGTTTGAAGATGCTTTATGCTTTAAGCCGTGGGGATTAAAGCGTCTTAACTCATAAATATACAATATTTCAAGTTAAAGCCTGCTCATTAATCTTTTCTATTTTAGTACTTAGTTCAACTTATGTATCAGTTCATGTATTTGTAAAGTTAATAAGCTCTTTAGATTATAGCATACCAAAGATTGAATATGTGATGTACATTCAGTTGAAGTTACTGATATAGTTGTATATATAGTAACTTATCACAAATGAACACTAGTGTATCAAAAAGTCAGATAAATTACTGCCTTTTAGTGTCATACATTTTCAAATCTTACATATTTACATATTTTTACATATTCAGATCATATGGTACAGCATTTGGAGCTGTGATGTAGCACAAGGCTGTGTGATTAGCTCGATATTCCATAGCCAGAGGGGGGGGGGTGTGATGGGTGTGATCCCACCCCCTCCCTTTAACCAATAAAAATAGAACCATGAAAGAAAGAAAGGAGCTTTAAAATGCTTTTTATTTGAAGCTTCTAGCTCAATTTTGAAGGAAGTTGCATCAATTTTTGTAAAATTCAAAATAAATCTTATTGTTTTGCTTGTATATGCCACAATTGCACCCCCTGAATGAAAGCTGGCTACGTCCCTGCATTTGTTCCTATTGATTACAGTTTATACATTGCCTTTGACATGGCTTTTCAATTAATAGCATTAATAATACAGTTCTAGGTTTCTGGGGATGCATATTTGCCAAGATTTCTATGCAGAATCTCTGGCTAGAAATATATCTAGCACTGTGCATTTTGCATTTTCATGTTCTTCATCATTTGATAGTATAGCACTAATTAAATGATTATATAGTTTTGAGGACTCCACCATTCAGAGAAAAATAACATTATGTAGGGGAAACAGTATTTAGACAGCGCTCTGAGATATTTAGCATTACAGGTATTTCACAATGAAAAATGAGAACTTAAGCTACAATATTTTTAGAGGAAAGCCTCTACAGGTGAATTCACCTGACTAGCAATATTTGAGATCTTGTATCATCATACCTTTGCCAGGTGAAATATGGTAGGAATGTTTCAATGTTGATCTGTTATTGCCTTGCAATCTCATAACAAGTCATTATTTCCTCCTAATAATACCTGCTATATGTAATTAACTTATTGACCAGTCTACAGGTTTCTATTTGGAGAATGCTGCCAACTATTATGTCAGGCTTGATATCCATTTCAGATTTGCTCATATTGCACCAAATTGCTTCAAGATTAAAATATTTCTTAGAGGTGGTTGGCCTCAGGTAAGGCAAAGGGCTCCTAACCAAAATAACATGTTTATACAATGTTATTATAGGTAACAAATCAAATGATGGTTGAAATATGTTGAGATATGACTTTGTTGGGATATAACTCAGTTAAGAGTTGATTTATACATTTGGTATTGTTTACTTGACTGGCATGGAAGAAAATTATGATTTTTATTAATAATGAACTTTGTGAGAGAGGGACAGAGAGCTGCTTATCTGTACATCAAAGCAATTGCTTGTTATCCATATATACAGGTTAATATATATATATATATTTTATTTAGAGGTTATGTCACTATGACGTGAAATATGCCTGAGTTCTCCCAATATAGGCCGACCTTGGGAGGCTCTATATTTGGGCAAGAACGAAGGCATATTTCACGTCATAGTGACATAACTGATGTATTACATGCCTTTGTTCCCAGGGTTACTTTGTATCAATGACGTGACGTCATGATATTATCATGGTTATTAAAGAAATCTAATATCAAAACGAGGTAAGCGGGCTATATCGGGGTAATCGGGCAATATCGGTGGATATAGCTCGCTAACTTTCCCATTGACTTCCATACAAATGCTTCGCTAGGTATGTAATACATACATATATGAACATTTATAAGCTCTATATAGCAGGTTATTATGATGAGAGTGAGAAGTTCCATTTTTAAATCACATTAATTAATCGGATTGTATGTCATCCACCATAAGCAAGAGTAAAAGCTCACAAGAATCTGTGTTTCAGATATTCAAGTATTGCCCCTATAAATTACATATTTATGAATATTTTGAATATTTGAAAAGTTTGTATGTTATGATACACCTGGTGTCGTGATTTGACACATGAAGTAGCAGAAGGAAGGGTCATAACTCTAGAGGCCTGTTATGAGCTACATTCATGAGCTAGAATAACATTTAGAAAGTTCTCGTTTCAAGGGTGGAGTATAACACTACATCACGTATAAAG